CGCTCGCCCACCCGCCGCTCCACCAGCGAGTAGGACACCAGCGCGTTCTCCTGCGCGTCCGCGTCCTGGGCCGACACCGTGAAGATGTGGCAGCCCGGCGGGTTGTTCTCCTTCACGAACACCGTGTACTCAGGCTGCGCGAACGCGGGCGCGTTGTCGTTCACGTCGGCCACCTCCACGGACACGCTGGCTGAGGCCGACAGGGCAGGGGCGCCCCCGTCCCGCGCCATCACCACCAGATCATAGGCCGGCACGCTCTCGCGGTCCAGGGCGCCATCCAGCACCAGCGAGTAGTAATTCTTGTAGGTGGACACCAGCTTGAAAGGAGTATGGGGCGTCAGGATGCAGGTCACTTCCCCATTGACTCCAGAATCACTGTCAGAAACGCTAATCAGGGCTATAACTGTGCTGGGTTGAGCGTCTTCTCTAACTGGGAGGGACAGGGAAGTCACGGTGACTTCAGGAGCATTGTCGTTGGCATCTAAGATTTCTACCCAGAGTATACAGTGTCCTGCCATCGGTGGATTCCCCTTATCTGTGGCTTGTACTTCAATTTCATAAAACTTGTTTTCTTCATAATCTAAAATTCCATTGACTCTCACCTCTCCATTATTTTCATCCAGTATAAATAAAGGTCTCCCATTGGGCTTAATTGATTTCAAAGTGTATGTTAAATCTCCATTAACTCCTTCATCTCTATCGGTGGCGTTTAATTGTATTACAAAAGTGTCTTTAGCAGCATTTTCCAGCAATCTCACTTTGTATTCTGATTGCTCAAACTCCGGATCATTGTCGTTAACATCTAATATGCGGATCAAGAGCTGTACTGTGCCTGTGAGCTCCGGTTTTCCGCCATCTGTAGCCGTCAACAACAAGTTAAGTTCTGAAGATTTTTCTCTATCCAGAGACTTCTTTAATACAAGTGACAGCCGTTTGTTCCGCTTACTACTTGTTGATGATTCTAAAGAAAAATACTCATTTTGACTTAGTCTGTAGGTCAATAGAGCATTCTCTCCTATATCCATATCAGAAGCTCCCTCTAGCGGAAAACGCGAGTCTGGTTGCTTTGATTCAAAAATCTGCAATCTTTGTTCTCTGAGAGGGAACACTGGCGCGTTGTCGTTAATGTCCTTCACCTCCACCTCCACGTGGAAGACCTGCAGCGGCTTGTCCACGATCACCTCCAGGTGGATGCTGCACCCCGCGCTCCGCCCACACAGCTCCTCGCGATCGATGCGAGAATTCACAAACAGAATGCCGTTCTGCAGATTCACCTCCAGAAGGTCCCCGCGGCCTTTGGACGCCACCCGGAACAGGCGCGGCACCAGCTCCGCCAGCTCCAGCCCCAGGTCCTGCGCGATGCGGCCCACGAACGTGCCGTGTTTGGCCTCCTCGGGCACCGAGTAGTGGACCTGGCCGCTCCCCGCCTCCCAGGCTGCCAACAAGAGAAGCGACAGCAGCAGGCGCCGGATTCCCAACTCCCCTTTCTGAGAACTCAACATCGCACAGGACATTGATTTCCAGACGAAGATTCTTTATACTTACAGTAGCTGTTACTCCAGATTATAAATCAAAAATCCCACTGGATTTTATATCTTAAAAGATTCTTTAACAGTATAGCATCCGGCACGATGGAGTCCTTTTCCGTAATGAGTGCCTCGCAGGCTGTTCTGAACAACTTATAAATGAACACTTTTCAACAAGTAAAGAGCGACACCTTGCGCCTGAAACTGTGAGTACCATACACTACCGCCAACAACAGAATTTCGAAAGGTGGGAAATGTCAATTATTTACTTTGTTGTATCCTAGAATAATATTTTCAAGGTGATTATTTATGGAACATTAGACTTTTTATCATGTTGAAACTTATGGCATGGGGGAACAATTTTTATTTCCTGATTTATGTCATATTAAATGTTTCTGGTTTAAATTTCTTTTATGTATCTGATATACACACTGAAAGAAAGATAGACTTCAACACTATAGACAAACTATGAAGTACTACGTTTGAACATTTCCTAAACGTATTGTTTCTCATATAAACATATTCTCTAACTTAATTATATTTTACTTCCAGTCTCTCTTGTTAAATTGGCTGCTAGGAAATTCAAACAAAAATTTGAAGCTTTGTAATAACTCTTTAGTCCACTTATTCAGTTCTTATCCGTGTAGACTTGCCTTTCCACTCATCTATTTCCTCTAGTTATAAATCTTTCATAATTATAAGGAGAAAACTGCATCTTGGTCTATGTACAAATTCTGCTCTGCATAAGCACAATTAAGTGTTCTGGAATTTCCATTTTCAAAATGTTGTCCATAAAATGTTATGATACACACAGTGAGCAACCTTATATCGTTAACGAAACACTGATAAACTTCTCACTGATATTCTCTGTTTCAACCAAGATCTGTCTGACATCAGGATTATATTATGACTTCTGAATCTGGCTTGAATCTCTGGAAGTTCCCTCTTGATGATCTGCACCTATGATTTTTACATTATCTTCAGCAAGATATGATTTCCGTGTGATATTGGTGATCTTGTTAAGTAACTTCTGCATTCTGTAGGAGCACCTTTCTCTAGAATGGAAACAAATATGGATCTCTTCCAGTCCATTTTCTAGGTGCTTATGGTGGTATTGTTGTTGGATGCCATTGAGTTGAGTACAGTGCATAGAGACCCTATGAATGATAGATCTGAACCCTGTCTTATCCTGTGTCAGCCTCACACTCTCTGACTCCCTTGAGCCTATTGCTACAGTCACTGTGTCAATTTATTTGGTGGAGGATCTTCTCCTTCACCATTTCTTCACTTTCTAAGTATTATGTAAGACAAAGCTTTATCATCTTTGCCAGAGGAGCGCTCTGGCTGTACTTTCTCCAAGACATGTCTGCTTTCTTTGGTAGTCGGTGGAATATTTAGTATTCTCCAACACCACAGCTCAAAGCCATCAATTCTTCTATCACACTTTTTCATCATCCAGCTCTCAGATGCATAGTATGTGATTGAAAAGACTATGGCCTAAATCAGGCACAATTTAGTCCTCAAACTGACACTATTGTTCCTTCACAATTTGGAGAGGTCAGATATTCCCAGTGCAATACATCTCTGATCTCTTGACTGGTACCTAGTGTACTTCTTGATTGTGCATCCAAGTAAGATGAAGTCATTGACAACTTTTCTCCATCTATCATGAAGTTGTCTTGCCCATAAGTCCAATAGAAAGGATTTTTCTTTTCTTGATGATGAGATGCAACCCATATTGATGAATGCATTGTTTAACATTTTGCAGCAAATTCTTCAAGTCCTTCTCACTTTCAGCAGACAAGATTGTGTCACTTGCGAAATGAAGGTTATTTGTGGATCTTGCTCCCATCCTGAGGCTACATTCTTCTTCAGAGAGTCCAATTTCTCAAATAATTTCAGCAGCATAAAGACAAACAAGCATATCCAGTACTCAGTTCATTTCTGGAAATAATTCTATAGGTGTCCAGTCAATTCCTGGAGTCTTGGCTTTAACCAAGTGAATCTTGAACTTTTCCTTCCATGCTATTGGCTCTCAATTATATTACCTTCAGAAACAGCTGGATACCCAACAGTTGTTCATAATACATTGACTCTTGTCTAATTCTTCCATCTTATTTTGTCCATAGACTCTTATTATTGCACCTTGAGGTTCAAAGTTTTTCTTAAGTTCTTTTAACCTGAGAAATGTCAAGTATGTTCTTTATTCTTGGTTTTCTATTGCTAGGGTTTTACATGTCTTCTCAGACCAGCCTTTGAAATATTCTCAGCTCTCTTAATTATTTCTTCATTTTGCTTTCACTTCTTTACATTCTGATAACATTTTAGAATCTATTCTGGTACCTGTTTTGTTCTTTTCTTTGATTCCTATCATCTTAATAATATTTTGCTTTCTTCTTTTATGGTTTTGTACCACAACTTATCTGATCTTCTATCATTAATACTCAGTAAGCTAAATCTATTCTTACTATAGTCCTGTTGTTGTTGTTGTTGTTGTTGTTGATTGCCATCAAGTTGAGCATGACTCATAGTGACCCCATGAACAAAAGGCCTGAAACCCTCCACAACCATTGCCATTTTTCAAAGTTCACAGTTTCCAGAGGCATACTGTTTAGGAAGTAAGTGCCACTCCTTCTCAGGGGAAATATATTCAAGGTCATATTTTTGCTCTCATGGGCTTATTTTAATTTCTTTAGCTTCCACTTGAACTTGCATTTGAACAATCAAGATCTGTTACAGAGTTGTTCTCTAGCCTTCTTCTGACTTATGATATTTAATAATTTGAAATATTATTAATTATACTTGTTCAAACACAATACTTATTCACAGCATTATACATCAGACCATTTTGTAGGTGTTATCAGGCTTCAATCTAAGTTAACACTCTTCTGTTTCTTCTCACTTATTAAATGATTATTCTTAGTTATATAACTTCCGAAGAAATGGATCCAAATTCCTTATTAAGAAACTCCTAATTATGTTACTGATTAACAAAAATATCTATCTCAACAAGACATTGAAAAAACAGATTATAATAGTGTATATTAAATCTTCTAAAAGTTGTGCTCCGTTTTTCCACCCAAGACAATGTTTGCACAAAGATTTACTAAAGTAATTGAAAATTAGAAATTGTTAAGAAAGAAATGGAAGGCATAAATATTGACATATTAGGCACTGGAGAGATGAGATGGACTGGCATGGGGCATTTTGAGTCAGATGAC